AGATAGATAGACAGACAAACAGATAGACAGACAGATAGATAGATAGATAGATAGATAGACAGACAGACAGACAGATAGACAGACAGACAGACAGATAGATAGATAGACAAACATATAGACAGATAGATAGATAGATACATAGACAAACAGACAGATAGACAAACATAGACAGATAGATAGATAGATAGACAGACCGATCGATCGATACAGATAGATAGATAGACAGATCGACAGACAGACAGACAGATCGATCGATCGATATAGATAGACAGACAGACAGACAGACAGACAGACCGATAGATAGATAGATAGATAGATAGATAGATAGACAGATCGATAGATAGATAGATAGATAGATAGATAGATAGATGACTGTCTTACGTCTTGCTGGAGGTTGTCGATGGCTCTAGTGATGTGCTCTTGTCCAGGCTGCTGGTAGTTTTGCACCATCCTCTCTTTCAGATCGGCTCTCAGCTCAGCGTTCAGCTGAAATCACAGATAAATCCATCAGAATACAGATACAGATCTATAACTATAAATCATTCTCTATATTTAGCAAGTGCTCTAAAAGTCTGTTTTCATTCACAGATACAAAGTAAAACCTCATATATTAAAGGAACCATTCAAAATGATAATTCCGTCATTAATTACTCACCCTCATGTCATTCCAAACATGATGTTATTTTTTTCCTCGGAACACGGAAGAATGTTCATGTAACCTTCAGTGTGCCACTGAAAAAATAACAGCATACAGGTTTGGAATGACATGAGGGTGAGTAAATAATGACAGTGTTTTTATTTTTTGAATGAACTGTTTCTTTTGAGGTAAAAATCTATCTATAAATGTGCAACTTTAGTTCAAATTTTTTTTTGCCTATGTAGTTGTTTACCTGGTAGCAGAGAGGAAAACACTGAAGGAAAAGGAGGAAGAGGACAAAGGGTTTTATAAAGATGGAAAGCTGGAAAGTGGATGGAAAGCATGCAAACATAACACTCGACATGTGTATGTGGGATTAACATCAATATGAGGAGATTACAGTTAAATTAGGACATAATCTGATGTTTTATTACATTTCTGTGATATTCATGGCAATATTGCAACCATGTTTATCAAGTTGTTATTCCCATGCATACATAAAGATGTTGAAAAAAACTGAAAAAAGAGGGTACAGAAACCTTTAAGAGGATAGAGAATTCATCCAAATTAAACAAATAGAAATGTAGCGTTCATTCCTCATCTTGAATGTGAGTTTACCTCCTGATAATAGACGTAAGCCAGAATTCCAGCTGTGATCTCCAGAAGAAAGATTAACAACAACAGCACAAAGAACTATAGAGACAAAAAAGGAAAACATTTTCATCAATACACATATTTTGACACCAGGTTTGAGGGTTAGTAAATATTGACAATTTCATTTTTGTATAACTGTTCTTTATAGGGATTGTTCATCCAAAAATGAAAATGCTGTCTTCGTTTACTCACTCTCATGTCGTTCCAAACCCGTAAGACTTTTGTTCATCTTCAGAGCACAAATGAAGATATTTTTAATGAAATCTGTGAGATTTCTATCCCTCCATTGACAGTCTATGCAACCACCACTTTGACGCTTCAAAACACTCATAAAGAGATCGTAACACTAATCCATATGAATTTAGCGGTTTCATATTTCATTACAAATGTGTTCATTTGTGTTCCTAAGATGAACGAAAGACTTACAGGTTTGAAACGACATGAGGGTGAGCCAATGACAACAGAATTTTTATTTTTGAAGTAAAAAATGAATATACTAAAATGTATTTGAAATACATTTGTTTCATGCTATACTACAAATACATTCACACATACATTCTCGCTTTAAGAAGCTTCTCTCTGATGTTTATCAGCTGTTGGAAATGTGAACAAATGGCATCTGAGGAATTTTATGCAGCTGATAAAAGTTAAAAGCATTATTATTCTTCTCTCAGCCTGTATTTGTTCTGTATTTTCCCTCTGTTTTCTGTGCCCACCACTCTCCTTTCATTCCTCTATTCTGGATTCACTCCCTACTCATTCCTCTATACTCCCTCTCTCTCTCTCTCTCTCTCTCTCTCCGCTGGCCATCATTCCTCAGTTATGACTCAGTTTCTAAGTCTGACCTCTTAAAGATACACACATCTTTATTTAAATCCGATATGTTGACAGCTTTGAGACAACTAAGAGACACACATATGAGCACCATTAAACTGATTTAGAAAGCACAAAAAAGTCACGTTAGTGTGACCGCATGTTCCCAGAATAATCCCTGGCTTCTGTGTGCAGGAATCCACACGGCTACTGTAATCCAGTGTTTACACTGTCCACTTTGTCCATTACTCATAATATTTCACTCAAAGGTTTGGCAGAAGTTTCTACCTCTATATCTTTTACAGGCTGCTCTGAGAATATTCATCAGAAACATTTACGGGGCCAAAACCATTCACTTGGTTCCTTCCTTTGTTAAAATAGCCTTTGTGTTGGTGGTGCTTCCTTAGTCTAGCAACATAATTTGGGGTGAGTTAACCAAACAAACAAATTATAAATATAAAATCTTCACACGTAACTCATCCTGCACTGTGGTAAATGATAAGGGACTTTTTTTGCCTGGGGTTGGAATGTTTTGACTCAGGGCAGTAAGCAACCACCTAGCAACCACCCAGAACACCCTAGCAACCACATAGATAAAACTTTAAGACACTCAGAACACCCTTGCAACCACATAATAATGCTTTAAACACACTTAAAACACACTAGCAACCACATAGCAACACTCAGAAGACTAGTAACTGCACAGCTATACCCTGGCAACCATCCATAACATCATGGCAACACTTATAACACCTTAACAACTGCACAGCTACACCTTTGCAACCACCCACAACACCCTAGCAACCACATGGCAACACTTAAAAAAAAAAAAGCTCGGAACACCCTAGCAACCAGATTGCAATATTTTAAAAACACTCATAACACCCTAGCAACCACGTACCAGACTCTTTAAAACACCCAGACCACCCTTGCAACCACATACCAGACTCTTTAAAACACCCAAAACACCCTAGCAACCACACTGAAATACTTTAAAAACACGCAGAACACCCTAGCAACCACATTGCAATACTTTAAAAACACTTAGAACACACAAGCAACCACATACCAGACTCTTTAAAACACCCAGAACACCCTAGCAACCACATACCAGATTCTTTAAAACACCCTAGCAACCACATGACAACACTTTAAAACACTCAGAACACCCTAACAACCATATACCAGACTCTTTAAAACACCCAGAACACCCTAGCAACCACATACCAGATTCTTTAAAACACCCTAGTAAACACATGGCAACACTTTAAAATACTCAGAACACCCTAGCAACCATATACTAGACTTTTTAAAACACCCAGAACACCTTAGCAACCACATTGCAATACTTTAACAACACTCATAATACCCTAGCAACCACATACCAGACTCTTTAAAACACCCAGAACACCTTAGCAACCACATACCAGATTCTTTAAAACACCCAAAACACCCTAGCAACCACATGGCAACACTTTAAAACACTCAGAACACCCTAGCAACCATATACCAGACTCTTTAAAACACCCAGAACACCCTAGCAACCACATTGCAATACGTGAGCAAAAGGGCTGGCAAATTCACTCTGGACCCCTCACATCCAGCACACTCCCTCTTTGAACTGTTGCCATCTGGTCGACGCTACAGAGACAACACTCATAACACCCTAGAAACCACATACTAGACTCTTTAAAACACCCAGAACACCCTAGCAACGCTCAGAACACCCTAGCAACCATATTGCAATACTTTAAAAACACTCAGAACACCCTAGCAACCACATACCAGACTCTTTAAAACACCCAGAACACCCTAGCAACACTCAGAACACCCTAGCAACCACATTGCAATACTTTAAAACACTCAGAACACCCTAGCAACCAAATACCAGACTTTTTAAAACACTCAGGACACCCTAGCAACCAAATACCAGACTCTTTAAAACACTCAGAACACCCTAGCAACCAAATACCAGACTTTTTAAAACACTCAGGACACCCTAGCAACCAAATACCAGACTCTTTAAAACACTCAGGACACCTTAGCAACCACATTGCAATACTTAAAAAATGTAAACACGCCGGACACCTTTGAATTGTGGTTGTGACTGCTGTCACTTGTAACGTTACCCATAATGCTCTCTTACCACTATAAGAAGACCTCTTTGTTCCCTGATGGTGGCGCAGCAGCCCAGTATCCCGGTGAGCACCACGACGGCCCCTGCACCAATCAGGATGAAGGCCGCGGCCGTGTAGGTGCTGGAGGACAGAAGGCTGATGTAGTCGCTTTTATCCACCAGAGTCCATATTCCCACTGCCATCACAGCGCCACCTGCCAGCTGGGAGGATGAGGTACAGTCATAAAACTGGCTCTTTCTGAAGCGGAATTTACTAAACTTATTGATGTTGTTAGATTTGATGCCTTACAGTGAATTCGTTCATCCTTAGAAAGGAAAACAGTGGATCTTTCTTTTCAAATACATTTAAACAACAATAGCTTAAACCATGCTATGATTAACTAAAACAAAAACTATTCAAAATAGTTTTTGGTAATTGAATTATACAAACACACATATGCACATACACACGCGTGCACACACACACGCTCTCACACACACACACACATGCGCTCTCTCACACACACACACACATATAGGCCTATATTTGATGAAAAAATTATTAAATGAGCTAATGAGTTGAAATTGAAGTAGGAAATTTACTAAAACTGAAACTGAAATCACACACACACACACACACACACATATAGGCTTATATACAGTCGTGGTCAGAATTATTGGCACTCTTGGTAAATAAGATCAAAGAAGGCTGTGAAAATAAATCTGCATTGTTTATCCTTTTGATCTTTTATTTTTTTTAAATTCACATATATCTAACCTGTCATTGAACTAAAACAATTGAAAATGGGGGAAAATCTCATTATGAAATAAATGTTTTTCTCAAATACACGTTGGACACAATTATTGG